TTGAGTTCCATGTGCTATCCATTTAGTTGTTGCTGCTGTTGGTAGTCTTCAAGTGAGGTGTGGTTTCTGTTCCACTCATCTCTCTAGTTTATGTGGAACTTCTATACCAGGATTATACGATTATTTTTCTTTGAGGTGGTCTTTTGGTTTCTGTTCCACTCATCTCTAGTTTATGTGGAACTTCTATACCAGGATTATCGATTATTTTCTCTTTGAGTTCCATGTGCTATCCATTTTAGTTGTTGCTGCTGTTGGTAGTCTTCAAGTGATGTGGTTTCTGTTCCACTCATCTCTAGTTTATGTGGAACTTCTATACCAGGATTATATGATTATTTTTCTCTTTGAGTTCCATGTGCTATCCATTTTAGTTGTTGCTGCTGTTGGTAGTCTTCAAGTGATGTGGTTTCTGTTCCACTCATCTCTAGTTTATGTGGAACTTCTATACCAGGATTATACGATTATTTTCTCTTTGAGTTCCATGTGCTATCCATTTTAGTTGTTGCTGCTGTTGGTAGTCTTCAAGTGATGTGGTTTCTGTTCCACTCATCTCTAGTTTATGTGGAACTTCTATACCAGGATTATACGATTATTTTCTCTTTGAGTTCCATGTGCTATCCATTTTAGTTGTTGCTGCTGTTGGTAGTCTTCAAGTGATGTGGTTTCTGTTCCACTCATCTCTAGTTTATGTGGAACTTCTATACCAGGATTATAGATTATTTTCTCTTTGAGTTCCATGTGCTATCCATTTTAGTATTTGCTGCTGTTGGTAGTCTTCAAGTGATGTGGTTTCTGTTCCTCATCTCTAGTTTATGTGGAACTTCTATACCAGGATTATACGATTATTTTCTCTTTGAGTTCCATGTGCTATCCATTTTAGTTGTTGCTGCTGTTGGTAGTCTTCAAGTGATGTGGTTTCTGTTCCACTCATCTCTAGTTTATGGAACTTCTATACCAGGATTATACGATTATTTTCTCTTTGAGTTCCATGTGCTATCCATTTTAGTTGTTGCTGCTGTTGGTAGTCTTCAAGTGATGTGGTTTCTGTTCCACTCATCTCTAGTTTATGTGGAACTTCTATACCAGGATTATACGATTATTTTTCTCTTTGATTATTTTCTCTTTGAGTTCCATGTGCTATCCATTTTAGTTTTTGCTGCTGTTGGTAGTTCTTCTATCCAAGTTGAGGTCTGGTGGTTTCTGTTCTCATCTCTAGTTTATGTGGAACTTCTATACCAGGATTATACGATTATTTTCTCTTTGAGTTCCATGTGCTATCCATTTTAGTTGTTGCTGCTGTTGGTAGTCTTCAAGTGAGGTGGTTTCTGTTCCACTCATCTCTAGTTTATGTGGAACTTCTATACCAGGATTATACGATTATTTTCTCTTTGAGTTCCATGTGCTATCCATTTTAGTTGTTGCTGCTGTTGGTAGTCTTCAAGTGAGGTGGTTTCTGTTCCACTCATCTCTAGTTTATGTGGAACTTATACCAGGATTTATTATTATTTTCTCTTTGAGTTCCATGTGCTATCCATTTTAGTTGTTGCTGCTGTTGGTAGTCTTCAAGTGATGTGGTTTCTGTTCACTCATCTCTAGTTTATGTGGAACTTCTATACCAGGATTATACGATTATTTTCTCTTTGAGTTCCATGTGCTATCCATTTTAGTTTTGCTGCTGTTGGTAGTCTTCAAGTGATGTGGTTTCTGTTCCACTCATCTCTAGTTTATGTGGAACTTCTATACCAGGATTATCGATTATTTTCTCTTTGAGTTCCATTGCTATCCATTTTAGTTGTTGCTGCTGTTGGTAGTCTTCAAGTGAGGTGGTTTCTGTTCCACTCATCTCTAGTTTATGTGGAACTTCTATACCAAGATTATACGATTATTTTCTCTTTGAGTTCCATGTGCTATCCATTTTAGTTGTTGCTGCTGTTGGTAGTCTTCAAGTGAGGTGGTTTCTGTTCCACTCATCTCTAGTTTATGTGGAACTTCTATACCAAGATTATACGATTATTTTCTCTTTGAGTTCCATGTGCTATCCATTTTAGTTGTTGCTGCTGTTGGTAGTCTTCAAGTGATGTGGTTTCTGTTCACTCATCTCTAGTTTATGTGGAACTTCTATACCAGGATTATACGATTATTTTCTCTTTGAGTTCCATGTGCTATCCATTTTAGTTGTTGCTGCTGTTGGTAGTCTTCAAGTGATGTGGTTTCTGTTCCACTCATCTCTAGTTTATGTGGAACTTCTATACCAGGATTATCGATTATTTTCTCTTTGAGTTCCATGTGCTATCCATTTTAGTTGTTTTGCTGCTGTTGGTAGTCTTCAAGTGATTATTTTTCTTTGAGTGGTTTCTGTTCCATGTGGTTTCTGTTTCATCTCTAGTTTATGTGGAACTTCTATACCAGGATTATACGATTATTTTCTCTTTGAGTTCCATGTGCTATCCATTTTAGTTGTTGCTGCTGTTGGTAGTCTTCAAGTGGTTTCTGTTCCACTCATCTCTAGTTTATGTGGAACTTCTATACCAGGATTATACGATTATTTTCTCTTTGAGTTCCATGTGCTATCCATTTTAGTTGTTGCTGCTGTTGGTAGTCTTCAAGTGATGGTTTCTGTTCCACTCATCTCTAGTTTTGTGGAACTTCTATACCAGGATTATACGATTATTTTCTCTTTGAGTTCATGTGCTATCCATTTTAGTTGTTGCTTGTTGGTAGTCTTCAAGTGATGTGGTTTCTGTTCCTCATCTCTAGTTTATGTGGAACTTCTATATTTTATTTTCTCTTTGAGTTCCATGTGCTATCCATTTTATGCTGTTGGTAGTCTTCAAGTGATGTGGTTTCTGTTCCACTCATCTCTAGTTTATGTGGATATACCAGGATTATACGATTATTTTCTCTTGAGTTCCATGTGCTATCCATTTTAGTTGTTGCTGCTGTTGGTAGTCTTCTTCAAGTGATGTGGTTTCTGTTCCACTCATCTCTAGTTTATGTGGAACTTCTATACCAGGATTATCTTTGATTATTTTCTCTTTGAGTTCCATGTGCTATCCATTTTATTTTAGCTACGATTAGTCTTCAATTTGATGCTGTTTCATGTGGTTTCTGTTCCCTCAAAAAATTTATGTGGAACTTCAAGGGTTTTATGATTATTTTTCTTTTTTGAGAAACATTTTAGTTGTGCTGCTGTTGGTAGTCTTCAAGTGATGTGGTTTCTGTTTCATCTCTAGTTTTCTATACCAGGATTATACGATTATTTTTCTCTTTGAGTTCATGTGCTATCCATTTTATCTCTGCTGTTGGTAGTCTTCAAGTGATGTGGTTTCTGTTCCACTCATCTCTGTTTATGTGGAACTTCTATACCAGGATTATACGATTATTTTCTCTTTGAGTTCCATGTGCTATCCATTTTAGTTATTTTGCTGTTGGTAGTCTTCAAGTGATGTGGTTTCTGTTCCACTCATCTCTAGTTTATATGGAACTTCTATACCAGGATTATACGATTATTTTCTCTTTGAGTTCCATGTGCTATCCATTTTTTAGTTGTTGCTGCTGTTGGTAGTCTTCAAGTGATGTGGTTTCTGTTTCACTCATCTCTAGTTTATGTGGAACTTCTATACCAGGATTATACGATTATTTTTCTCTTTGAGTTCCATGTGCTATCCATTTTAGTTGTTTGCTGCTGTTGGTAGTCTTCAAGTGATGTGGTTTCTGTTCCACTCATCTCTAGTTTATGTGGAACTTCTATACCAGGGATTATTTTCTCTTTGAGTTCCATGTGATATCCATTTTAGTTGTTGCTGCTGTTGGTAGTCTTTTGAGTTGGTTTCTGTTCACTCATCTCTAGTTTATGTGGAACTTCTATACCAGGATTATACGATTATTTTTTTTTGAGTTCCATGTGCTATCCATTTTAGTTGTTTGCTGTTGGTAGTCTTCAAGTGATGTGGTTTCTGTTCCATTCTCATTCTAGTTTATGTGGAACTTCTATACCAGGATTTTTTCTCTTTGATTATTTTCTCTTTGAGTTCCATGTGTTTTATCCATTTTAGTTGTTCTGCTGTTGGTAGTCTAGTTTATCTCTAGTTTATGTGGAACTTCTATACCAGGATTATACGATTATTTTTCTTTGAGTTCCATGTGCAATCCATTTTAGTTGTTACAGCTGTTGGTAGTCTTCAAGTGAGGTGGTTTCTGTTCCACTCATCTCTAGTTTATCTGGAACTTCTATACCAGGATTATACGATTATTTTCTCTTTGAGTTCCATGTGCAATCCATTTTAGTTGTTACAGCTGTTGGTAGTCTTCAAATGTGGTTTCTGTTCCACTCATCTCTAGTTTTTTTGGAACTTCTATACCAGGATTATACGATTATTTTTTCTTTTGAGTTCCATCTGAAAATGAGTTGTTGTTCTATTTTAGTCTCCAAGTGATATAGTTTATTATTTGGTACATTTGTTTGTGATTCTGTATCACCAGTCCACAATGTTCAAAGAAGGAAGGCTCTCAGGCTTTACTCAGTCAAAGAACTTTTTTCACAATTGATCTTAGGAATCGGTTGCATACAGCTGTCAGTTTAGATATTTCTGAATGGGTTTGGCACCATGCATGGTATCCATGTCAAAGTCTTGATCCGATGAGGCTATTTCAAAACATGTTTAATTCCTTTCTTTTTCTCCTATACTTAATTAGTTACAGCTGATCCATATACTCCATTGCTGGTAATAAAAAAAATATAAAATACTTAAGACTGAGATAAAATCATTTACCATCCTCTTCTATATGGGTGTTCCAATCTCAGCAGTAATGTCACACTGTAGTATAAGGATTGTATGTTCCTGTGATGTCAGATTTTAAAAATTAGTCTAGTGTTTCTGTGTTTATATTTACTTGTTAACTGAAACATTTGGTTTCCAATTTATTGTTTATTTCACTGAAGACAAGGATAATTAATCAAATAATTTGTGGAACAATAAAGTGATGTAAGGTGTATAACATACCTTTGGGTATATACAATATGTCTACTACAGTTTGGCACTCATTGTCGATGTTAGGGTTCATTTTTTTCTGTAAAACATCTGCAGTGTGCTTTGACAGCTTTAGACATCCTGCTTGTTTGAGTTTGAAGTAACAGCACATATTGCTTGCCACTTGATCAACATTAATGAAGTGTGATTGAAGACTGGATTTGCAACTGCAAAGAAAAGAACAACATAGCTGAGGTTGTTTTGACAATGAAATTTTCACTATAAAAAACTTATGTTGCAGAAGAAATAAAATTGGGACACACATTTTTAAATGTCACATTGTGTGTTTCAGATGTTCTATTGGTTGCTAAGAGTTGCAAATGTTCTATTGGTTGCTAAGAGTTGCAAATGTTCTATTGGCTGCTAAGAGTTGCAAATGTTCTATTGGTTGCTAAGAGTTGCAAATGTTCTATTGGTTGCTAAGAGTTGCAAATGTTCTATTGGTTGCTAAGAGTTGCAAATGTTCTATTGGTTGCTAAGAGTTGCAAATGTTCTATTGGTTGCTAAGAGTTGCAAATGTTCTATTGGTTGCTAAGAGTTGCAAATGTTCTATTGGTTGCTAAGAGTTGCAAATGTTCTATTGGTTGCTAAGAGTTGCAAATGTTCTATTGGTTGCTAAAGTTGCAAATGTTCTATTAGTTTGCTAAGAGTTGCAAATGTTCTATTGGTTGCTAAGAGTTGCAAATGTTCTATTGTTTGCTAAAAGTTGCAAATGTTCTATTGGTTGCTAAGAGTTGCAAATGTTCTATTGGTTTGCTAAGAGTTGCAAATGTTCTATTGGTTGCTAAGAGTTGCAAATGTTCTATTGGTTGCTAAGAGTTGCAAATGTTCTATTGTTTGCTAAGAGTTGCAAATGTTCTATTGGTTGCTAAAGTTTAAATGTTCTATTGGTTGCTAAGAGTTGCAAATGTTCTATTGGTTGCTAAGAGTTGCAAATGTTCTATTGGTTGCTAAGAGTTGCAAATGTTCTATTGGTTGCTAAGAGTTGCAAATGTTCTATTAGTTTGCTAAGAGTTGCAAATGTTCTATTGGTTGCAAGAGTTGCAAATGTTCTATTGGTTGCTAAGAGTTGCAAATGTTCTATTGGTTGCTAAGAGTTGCAAATGTTCTATTGGTTGCTAAGAGTTGCAAATGTTCTATTGGTTGCTAAGAGTTGCAAATGTTCTATTGGTTGCTAAGAGTTGCAAATGTTCTATTGGTTGCTAAGAGTTGCAAATGTTCTATTGGTTTTGCTAAGAGTTGCAAATGTTCTATTGGTTGCTAAGAGTTGCAAAATGTTCTATTGTTTTGCTAAGAGTTGCAAATGTTCTATTGGTTGCTAAGAGTTGCAAATGTTCTATTTGGTTGCTAAGAGTTGCAAAATGTTCTATTGAGTTGCAAATGTTCTATTGGTTTAAGACCAAATGTTCTATTGGTTGCTAAGAGTTGCAAATGTTCTATTGGTTGCTAAGAGTTGCAAATGTTCTATTAGTTTGCTAAGAGTTGCAAATGTTCTATTAGTTTGCTAAGAGTTGCAAATGTTCTATTGGTTGCTAAGAGTTGCAAATGTTCTATTGGTTGCTAAGAGTTGCAAATGTCCTATTAGTTGCTAAGAGTTGCAAATGTCCTATTAGTTGCTAAGAGTTGCAAATGTCCTATTAGTTGCTAAGAGTTGCAAATGTCCTATTAGTTGCTAAGAGTTGCAAATGTCCTATTAGTTGCTAAGAGTTGCAAATGTCCTATTAGTTGCTAAGAGTTGCAAATGTCCTGCTGATTGCTAAAATGTCACATTGATTGGTAAAAGTTTCAGATGTCACATTAGCTGCTAAAAGTTTCACATATGTTGGCTGCCAAAAGTTTTAAATACTACATTGGCTGCTAAGAGTTTTAAAAGTCTACAGCAAGATGCTTTTCTGAAATGGCCAGTATAGCATATCTGAAATATTTTTGCTTTTTAATCAACTATTACTTTTAAGAAAAATTATGTTATGCTCTACAAATTCTATCTTTAAGTGATGTTAAATCTTCTAGAACCTTTCAAGTGCATGTGGCCATGTTCTCTATTACCTGATGTTTTAGAATATCATAATTGGCAACTGATCACCATTCACATCTAGGCTTCATTTCAAGAGACAAATCACTACATTCAAAAGGCTTAAACCAGTTTTTGGCAGGAAGGACAGATATGGTTTCATTTCCTTCTTGTGAACTCTTCAATACTTTAAAATTGCCCAAATCTCTATAATTATATATATTGTTATATCTAAAGTAAAAGCACTGCTAAATAGCACTGAGAATTATTTATAATAATAACAATAGTTTTTAAATGTATACATTAAATAAACTTTAAAATAAAGGTCTGAAAAAAAAAAAAAAAAAAAAAAAAAAAGATCATTGAACTCATTGTGTTGCTTTTGTTCTGACCACTACATTTCAGTCAATCCATTCTCCAACCATCTTCAGGTGGACAATCTGTATGGAAGATACCTTCTATAACTTTAAGAAGAGTGATTATAATTCTAAGAGTTGTTCGAATCATTGAACTCCTTTGTGTTATTTTTCTTCTAACCATTACATTTCAGTCAATCTATTCTCTAACCATCTTCAGGTGTACAACGATATGGAAGACCCCTTCTATAATTTTGAGAAGAGTTGTTCTGACATTCTTTGTTTTGCATTTGTTCCGATAAGTACATTTCAGTCAATCCATTCTCCAACCATCTTCAGGTGTACAATCTGTATAGAAGGCACCTATAATTTTGAGAAGTGTTATTATCATTCTAAGAGCTGATAAAACTATTGAACTCATTCTTTGTGTTGCTTTCATTCTGGCCAATAAATTTTAGTCAATCCATTCTCTAACCATCTTCAGGTGTATGGAAGAAACCTTGATAACATCAAGATGTCACCTTCCTGATGAATTGGCCACAGTGATATTCAAACACGGGTCTCCTGGTTGGAAAGTGAATGTTCTAGGAACTTAGTCACATGCGCATTTCTTGCCCATGCACTTGTTAAAATTATCTTTAATTTCATGTGTTTTTTAAATTAATATTAAATGATCTTTGAGTTCTCAGATTGCTTTGAAATACTAAATAATCACAGAGACTGTTGTATATAAATTTGAAAAAATATACAAATATTTACTTTTGTAAAGCCATCAGAACAAGGACAGTCTCTGCTCCTATCAATATGGCGTCATTTTCCTTCTGTTCAATTGAATACATTTTTGCAGCCCACATTTCACACAGAATTAGATACCACATTTCCTGTTGTTTTTTCAAATTTGCTGTGATTTTTTGGCCATCTGTTCAATTACAGCAAAAGAGAAAAAGTGAAACAATTATGAAAAGAAAAAAATTATGTCAAAATATTAAACGAAAAACTAAGAAAACTTTAGGAAAAGAAAAATTATATTGGTAAAGAAATGATAGAATGGAAAAAAATTGAACAATAGACAAAAAGCAAGCCATATAATTAAGAGAAAAATAAAAATGGAATAGAAAGAAAAACATATTGAAGGGAAAAGGAAAAAAAATTACAGAAAGAGAAAATGATAGAATTTATAGACTAAGGAATATTAGAGAAAACTAAAATTTAATAGAATTAGTGGAAAATTAATATGTAAAATAAAAAATTAGTACAAAAACGTAGAATTATAGAGAAAGGAAAAAGAAAAAAATTATAGAAGAGAAAAAAAAAAAAGGGATTGTCAGTGGAAATGAGAAAAGAGAGAAAGGGATTGTCAGTGGTCAGGAATGAATGAAATGTATTGAAATTTATAGAATAGAATGAATATTATATGTATAATGTAAATACATTGCTAATGATTTTACTATAGGAATGCATTGAAAATCAGGAAGAAAGGGATTGTTGTCAGGGAATGTGGTCAGGAATGAATGTAAAAGCATTTTACTATAGGAATAGAATAGGGCTATGAATATGTGATAATGTAAATGCATTGCTAATGATTTTACTATAGGAAAATGCATTGAAAATCTGATAGGAATGAAAGGGATTGATTTTCTATAGGTGGTCAGGGAATGAATGCAAGCATTACTGATAGAATAGGGCTATTATATGTATAATGTAAATGCATTGCTAATGATTTTACTATAGGAATGCATTGAAAAATCAGGAAGAAAGGGATTGTCAGTGTTCAGGAATGAATACAAGCATTACTGATAGAATAGGGCTATTATATGTATAATGTAAATGCATTGCTAATGATTTTCCTATAGGAATGCATTGAAAATCAGGAAGAAAGGGATTGTCAGTGATCAGGAATGAATGTGAGTGTTACTGATAGAATAGGGCTATTATATTTTATATGAATTTATTGCAAATAATTTTACTATTGTAATGCATTAAATATCACAAATGAAATATTTTAAACTTTTTAGAAACATTTACTGATAATATATATGTATTTTATGTATAATTTTTCTAAAATGAGAGAGCTCACAAGAACAAATCAAGAATTTTCTAAAGATAACATTTTAAAAAACTATTTCAATGATCAAAAATCTTTGGTTATTACACTGCAAATGATCTGACAAAACTCTTACTCACCTTTTGTGACAATTTGCAGTCCACCGACCTGACTGAAAATCGAGTAGGTGTTTACCTTTGTGACTTTTTCAATTTGTTGCATGCGACACAGGTTTTGGAGAGTGTTTGCACCAAGTTTGTGAAACAGCAGTCTAGAAGGAAAGACAGACCTTATACCAAAAGCTAAGATTGGCATTAAAACTGAAACCATATAACACTTTCAAGAGACTGCCCAGAGTTTGTGCCACATATTGGGCAAGTCAAAATGAGATATAAAAATTTAACTATTGTTGCATAAAAGGAAGCTTTTATATTTTAATTCTATTTTTAATTTGGTTTGCGAAAAGATTTTGCCATTTTATATCATTAACTTTACTAATCTACTTTTTGTATGAATGATTCATTGTAAATATATATATATATATATATATATATATATATATATATATATATATATATGTTTTTTTAAAAATATGATTCCATCACGACACAAAATTACTATGTTTCAAAACTGGTCATCCATATTCAAGTTTAATTTCAATATTAAACCTTAACTGTTGGATGACTGTTTCATCCTCAAGCGATGTTTGGAATAACTAACCAACAAAATGTTTTACTTATTTAAAGTTTCGAAATGGAGGTGCAATCTGGGGTTAGATTTTCATTATCAAGGGGTCTCTGCTTTGATGAAAGTAGGTGTTTGTTATATGTCAACTCAACCTTACACAACTCCAAAAACTTGACAAATAACAAACACCCCTATTTTTATCAAATACTAAAGAACTTCAGATCATCAACCTAACAGCTACTTCCTATTATATCAATATATATACACACACACACACATATATATATATGTTTAATAATAGTTTAGCAGACTATTATTTTTTAGAGACATGTATTTCTGCTCTGACTTCCTCAATTTGACATTTGAGGTCAGATACAAGACAAAACAAAGTCAATTTTGATTGGTTGAACTAGCGTGGGAATGATAGAAATGTTTTTTTTGAGAGATGGTTCTTACACATCAAGCATTGTAAAAGTGTTCTCTGTCATTTCTGGATCTACTCCCCAGTGGGGAGAGAGCAACGACACTGAATAGGTAGAAATGTACACATCGACATGTTTAATAAAATAGCTAAGTTCAAATTCTCTTTGTTGATGTCTTTCATCTCCAGATGCAAAAATTTTGATGAGAGAAAGAGAGAAAATCCAATAATATCAGTGAATTGGCACTGGTGACCCTCACCAGGAAGATAAATAAATATAATATATATATATATATATATATATATATATATATATTGTTTATATGTTATTTTTTATAGATACAAATATTTAAGTAAATGCTCTGCTTATGTATTAACAACATTTACCATCCTGAATGTCTGAAAAATTTCATAGAAAATATGTGTACTCTGACAGGAATTGAACCTGTATCCTACACAGAATTGTCATACAGCCTGACGTGCTGCACCATTTAGCTACAGAGGAAGCATCTGGTTAGCAAGGTTGAATTATTGCTTTTAAACTAAAAATTTCCCATGGTTAGCAAGGTGGATCAGATATGAGTGTTTGAGAGAAATCATGGGAAATTTCTAGTTTAAAAGTAGTAATTCGAACTTGCACATATATTCAGTACTGATACTGACCTTCTATTTGTGAGCACTAAATGTCCAAGGCCACAACTAGTTTTGATGAGGCCAGAAACACACAAGAACCACTCAAAAGATACCAATTCATTTTCATGCCGAGGCAGTCGAGAACATTGATCACAATTCTGCTGCCAACTCTTCAGGAACAAAGATAGAACCACTGGATTCACAACTGTAAAATAAAGAAAATAAAATTAATGACAGGTAAAAACAGTAAAGATAGAAATTCAGACAGAAAAAGACTATGAAGAAGAATCTTTTTCACTCACTATTTTTTTAAATCATTTCACTCCAAGCAAGGCAATAAAGTCACTAAGATGTAAGGGGGTTACTGAGTATAATAAAATATGAGAAATATATACTAAAGAGAGAGAACAATAGAACAGAAATTAAGAAGATAACAATTGACATTAAATTTAAATTTTTGAAGATCAAAATCGACTAGGAAGCAAGAAGCTGGAAGAGAGTTCCACAAGTGAGAAGTGTGAGAGAAGAAACTGTTAGCACAGAACTTATGGTTGCATCTAGCCAATTCAACTGTAAAATGGAAGAGACATTGCCTAGTCCTGTGCTTAAATTTATAAAGTCTAGGTACCATAGAGAACAATTATCATGAAAGTATTTATAGAAAAGGCTATGTTATGATGTTGGGGAAGTGATTGAAGCCAAGATGTCAGGTTAGTACCAATAACATTGCAGATTCTTGTTTGGATTTTAACAAGAATCTCTAAATATATAGCAGTAACACCAGACCATATGTAGCAGAAATGTTCAAAGCCAGGATGAATGGTAGACTTATAAATAAGTAAGATAGATTCTGGCAAGAAGAATTGTCTAGCATGACACAATGAACTAACTTTCCTAGCTGCAGACTTAGCAATTGATTCACTGTAATCTTTCCACTAAGATACAATATGAAAATATGGGAAAAGTTTGAAAGTTCCTACCAAAACAGAAAACTGAAAAAAGTTTTGTATTCTTATTCATCAAAATGACTAACAGTATAACCTGTCTTCAACTGGATGTTACATTACTGGGAATTTTTGCTGTACAATTGGAGCAGTTCAAGTTTTAAGTCAGCTCACTTGAAAATCAATAGTAGTAACAACAATTGGGGGCAACTGAGGCACATCCCCAAATGGCGGGGGTTAACAATTTGAAAGAGGGGTGGCCCTGAAAAAGGCCGTTTTTGTGTTCTCAATCTTGTATTTGTGCATTTCTTTTATTTGCTCATGCCACATCAATTCAATAAAATAGGTTGAAATTAAAATTTTACAAGTAGCTTCTTAAAACAATAAACATTGCTGAGTGAGTAATAGTCATGTCCAGAGAGTGTGTCTGTACGTTTATATATTGGATCGGATAAAATTATATTTTTCGGTGGTTCTGATTTCAAAAAAATTGAAAAACAATTGTTTTTGGTTCTGAAATCAAAATTTGAAAAACACAATTGTTTTTGCACAAAAATCAGGCATCAAAAGAATGAAAGGGGGACAAGAATCATAGGGGGACAGTTATATTTATTATATTTAAAAACCCAGGTTGTTTTGTGTGTGTGTGTGTGTTCGTTTATATATGGGATCGGATTTCCTACATTTTTCAACCGATTTCAACAAAACTTCACTTTTTTTTTTTGGCAGGTAGTGTTTTTATTGTCTTGCACTTTTTTTTTTTTTATTTTTACATTCAGAATGCTTTAAAAATTCCATTTACAAGACAATTGTTTATAATAAAATTCTATTCAATCGGTAGACTCATAACGATTGAAAACAATGTTTTTGTTTGAGTTTGGGTTTGACCAATTCGTAAAAAAAAAAAAAAAAAAAAAAAACTAATTAAGACATGCGTGTCCGTCAACCTTAAACAATAATCTTTGTCAATTTTATTTTTCAGTCTTTATGATGGTCGATACTTGATCTATCTCTTACTGTTACATCCCCTGGGCAATGCTGGGCTCTACTGCTAGTTTATATATATATACCAATGATTTTATATATATAAAATTATAAAACCCTTTATATCAAAATAAATAAATTAAAAAATTTTTAATAGAAAATAAGTTAAAATTCAAATATAAATTTCAGGATCAATTTTAAACTTAATTATAAAATTTTATTTGTTTGGAAATAAAAAATTTATAAACTTTTACTATTATTTACTTTAAACTCATTTATTTACATTAAGCAATATTTATTTGATGCTTTAATTTAATTATTTTAATACCCTTTTTCAAGACAGATTCTTACATTTTTAAACCAATTATTTTAAACAAAAAAAAATCAAAACAACCAATTAAACTATTTTTTTCTAAAAGTCATGGCCTATTGATTTTATAAACTGAAAAAAACCAAACAATGTTAATTTATTGATTCAAGTAAACATGAACAAATGAAAAAATGTTTGTCTTAAAACAAAGACATTATTTATCTTTTTGAAAAATTATAAAATATGCCAAATATACATACCAACTAAATTTAAATCCAAAAATTTTTTTTCCTATAAAAGTAATTTACAGCAAATTTTACATATGGACTCAAACATAAACCCAACATTTGAATTATAGAACAATAAATCATAAAAAATCTTTAATTAAAGAGAAGCAAAAAATAAACAATTGTTTAATTATTTGTATAAAAAAAAATCAATTTTTGAAAATTAAATCTTTAAAATACAAAAGGATGCAGTTTTTTTAAATAGAAATAAAAAAAAAAAATATATATATATAATATTTAATTAAAAAATAGTTATAAAACCATTATATACCAATATATTTATTTTATTTAAAAAAAATAAAATTCTAAAAAAAATAAATTGGCTCTTATTATTCATTTTTATTAGCTTACAGTAAGGAAAAACTAATACTATTCAAATGTTGAGCCTCCAGCAAAAAAATTCAAATTTTTTTTTTTGGGAAGTCAAGTTAATTCTTTATTTTCTTATAATCCCATTTGCTTGCTCTGACAACAAAAAAATATTCATAAACCAAAACTAAATTCAAAATTAATAAAATGGAACAAAATAAAAAATATTGCAATAATGCTGAAATTCCTGTCTATAAATCAGAGACAGTAATAAGGATTTTTAAAACTAGTAAAACCTTTTTTCAATTTTAAAATTCTTCATAAAATAATATTAATAAATAAAAGAAATAAAAAAAATATGAAAAAATCCTTCAATTAAATTTGTAACAGACAATAATTAAGATGGAAAAAAACTTCTAAAAAAAATAACAGTGAAAAAATTCCTAAAAGCAACAACAAAAAAAAAAAAAAAATATAAATAATCTATATATTTTAATGAAAATAAAAAAATTCATCTGTTTTTGTTATTGATTGTTCCTCCTAGGGTTTTGGGGAAGTTGTATCCATAACCATAAATAAATTTTTAAATTATTCATAATTAAGTATAAGAAATTTTTTTTGAAAAATGTTCAAAATAAATTGGCACAAAATGATTTGAAATTTTTTTAAATTTGATTTAAATTCTTAAATTTAAATTTGAACAAAGCATGGCAGATATATAAAAAATATAGAACTTAAAAAAAAGAAGATGGAGGACACATCAAGATAATTTGTTGTTTTGAGACAAAAAATTCCAAAAAAATCATAAAAAATCAAAATCAAACCAAATTTACATATACATATTTGAAATGACATTCAACATTTTCAAAAATTGATTTTAAAATTCAAAATAAAGTATTGCATCAAAAACTATCAAATTTAAAAAGATCAAAAATTTTAAACAAAAAAATGCACTGAACATTTTTTTTTTATTGAATTTAAATAAAAACAAGGGAAGAACTCCTTTCAAAAACTGAAAAAAGCCAGAAGATGGAGGATTTTAGCAAGATCAATTGGTAAATTGAAAAAAATTTTTTCTCAAAAAAATTATGACAACAAATGAAGCCAAAAATCAAACATCATTTTATTCTTGATAAAAACTATTTAACACACAAATAAAAGATGGGAAATTTGGCTAGTAAAATAAAAATAATATTTTCTAAAAAAAAGCAACAATAATAACATGGGATAAAACTAACATTTAATAAAATTTAATAAGTGAAAATCCATTCAAAAGGAATAAAAAAAAAACAATAATAAAACGATGGGATAAAATTAGTAATAAAATAAATTTTGAAATTTATGAAAATGCTTCATCTAAAAGCAAACAAAAATAAATTTTCAAAACTATTTTTCTTAGATCATAATTTTAAAAATATAAAAACACCTAAAAAAAAAAAATAATAAGATGGATTAATTTTAATAATACCAAATAATAGTTCAAAATAAAATTTTAAAAAAAAAACCATAATAAGATTGAATAAATTTTATAAATTTAACAAAATTTAAATAATAATGAAAATATATTTAAAAAATAAAAAGAAATAATTAGATTAAAACTATTTAAAAGTTATCCAGAATAATAATAAAATGCTTTTTAAATTCAAACAAATCATGAAATCAATATCCAAAATAAATAGAAAAAATTTTTTTGAACATTCACTTTTGATTGAAATGTTTTATCTTATAAATGCACAAAATAAAAACAGGAAAACAATTTGTGCAAAATTTCTTTAATATTTTGTGTTTCTATAAAATATATATATATAAAGAAAAGATAAACAATTAAAAAAATTATTTTTGTAAACAAACAAATTTATTCTTATTATATACAGGCTTATTTTTTTTCATTTTTTTCCTTTCATCTCAAAAAATAAATTGACAAATGAAAATAATTTTAATCAATTTTTTTTTATAAAAAAAAAAAAATTTTTTTGAATTTTTTTTTTAAATTAATTTTTCTTAATTTTTTTATTTAAAAAATTTTTTTTAAATCGAGTTAAATACGTTGTTATATAATTTAAAATAGAAATGAAAATTTTTTTTTAATTTTTCAATAATAATTTTTTTTTCCTTATTTTTTTAAATTTTTTTTTTTATATTAATTTTACATTATATAAAAATTTGAATTTTTAATTTTAATTTTTTTTTTAATCTTTTATTTCCGCCATTTTCTTTTTAATCCATTTTTCTTTTTTTTTTTTTTTTTTTTTTTTCTTTATTTTTTATTTTCATCTTTTTTTTTAATTCTTTCAATTTTCTGTCTGGAGTTTACAATTTTATGAATTTGACTAAATATTTAAGAAACTCTACTATTTTACCATTTTTTTTTTTTAGATTTAAAAAAAAAAAAAAGAAGAATTATGTAAAATTAAATAAAAGACTTACTAAATACATTTATTTTTAAAATTTTATTCCATAAAAAAATTCTTACTTAACTTATTTTTTTTTATAATTAAAACATTTTCATTTCATTAAAAAATCATTTTTCTTCCACAAAATTAAAAAAATAGATTTAACCAATGTTTGATTAAATTATTAATCTCTTTTTCCTGTTTTATCATCCATTTGCATAGATTCATTAGGTAGGTTAACTTTTTGAAACAATTTTTTCTTGTTGTCAAAATTAATTTCTCCAAAAAAATTTTTGAAAAAAATTTGTCCTAGAAATTTAATTTTGATGATTTCTAAAAAAAAAATTTTTTTAAAATAAATATGTTTATTCCCATGGTTTTTTTAAAAAAATCCTTAAATTAAAACCAGTAAAAAAAATGGAAAAAAAAAAGCCTTTTAATTTACCATTATTCCATTTTCAAAACAGGCAATTCCAGAAATCTTGGAAAAATTCTATTTTATAAAAATTTTCTCAATTAAATTAATTTTTTGTGATTGTTGAAAATAAAAAAAAAAAAAAAACAATTCAAAATATCTGTTTATTTTCAATATAAAAACCATTGTTTTATTCATTTAAATATATAATATATATATATTATTAATTTAATTTTTTATATTAATTTACCAATATATAAATAAAGAGCCATTCAAATGTAAAGGCTTAAATGTGTTTAAAAAAATTTCAGGCTTCTAAAGTAAAATGGTGTTAGATTTAAAAAATAAAGTAGGACTCTAAATGAACTGAAAACCCAAATAATTTAAAAATTAAAAAATCTATTTTTACAAAAAAACAATTTTTCATTGATACAAAATTTTATATATTATATATATATATATATATATAAAATATATATATAAATATATATATATATAAAAAATTAAAAGAATTTTATTAAAAAAAACCATTTTGAATAAAAGGTTTTTTTATTTTTAAAATTTTATTTTTCAATTTTTAGGAATAATGATCAATCAATATAAATTATGAAGAAAATAATTTAATTCACTGAATAATATAGTAAAAAAAAAAAAACAAAAAAAAAATTTCTTTTTTTTTTATTGAAATTTTTAATTTTAATTTATTTTTAATAGGATTTTCATTTATATAGCAGTTCAGCAGTCTTTTTAATTTCTAATATAATAAGTGGAAAATTTGGACCTTCAAATTCAAAAAAAAAAAAATGTTTAAAAAGAGGGTTTTTTTTTATTTTGACAAGACTATTATTTTAACTACCTTTCTTCTTTCAGCAATGTTTATTGTTTTTTAAAAAGCAATGATTAGAATTGTGAATAAAATAAAACCTAAACATATGATGAAAGTGAATTTATACATTTTTTTTGTTCTTGAGAATTTACAAAAAAAAATATTAAAAATATTAAAACTATTTATTTATTAGATTGTTTATTTACAAGAATAATTTTATATTTACAACATTCTAAAAAACTAATACAATTAAAACTAATGCAATGCAATATTTATCATTTACCAATTTATAAAGAAATAAATATGAAAAACAATTTTTTATTCATAAATTTATAAACATTTACTAAAATTATTAAAATATGAACCAACTATAAGAAAAATCTTTATTATTTACCATTTTATAAAGTTTGAATTAATTGGCAATTAGCCAATATTTTTGATGTAACCATTCCATTTAATAAATATTAGTAAATAAATATAAATAAAAAAAGAATAAATAATAGTGTTTATTATTTTTTGTCAATTCTCAAGAACAAAGAAAATGTATAAATTCACTTTCATATGTTTAGGTTTTTATTAAATTTTAATCATTGCTTTTTAAAACAATAAACATTGCTGAGGAGTGAAGGTAGTTAAAATAATATATACTTCTATTTATATGAGTAATATATCAATGTTTTTTAAGAATTTAATTATTTAACTTTATTTCAAAAAATATTGGCAATCTTTTGTTCTGGGAGAAAGGGTTTTATTGCTTAAAAACAAATAAATTGAAACATTTTTTTTTATAAATCATAAAGTAAATAAATCCAAAATATAAAAGCTATAGAAATATTATTTGAATAATATTTAGGCCATAGATAAAGATAAAATATTACTTTATTATATTTATATGCTATAATGAGTCCATTAATAAAAGTGAAGTTATTCATTTTCTTTTGTTCTTGAGAATAATTTATTAAAAAATAAAATAAAAAAAACGCTATTTATTATATTGCATATTGGAATGGTTGGCAAATTATCGGCTAATTGCCAATCGATTTGAACTGTATAAAATGGTAAATAATAAGGATTTTTTTACAGTGATTTCCACATCTATATATATA